AGCGGATATGCGTTAGGCGCCGTATTGATGCAGGGTGAAACCCCTAAGGACGAGCGTCTAATAGAGTACGCCAGCAGGTTGCTGACCCCTGCTGAGCGCAATTATCATACTACAGAGCGAGAAGTCCTCGCAGTTGTGTGGGCTTTGGATAAATTCCGCTCGTACATAGAAGGAAGTCACGTTAAGATAGCTACGGACCATCAACCGTTAAAGTGGCTTTTGACTCTGAAGACGCCTAGTGGTCGTCTGGCCAGGTGGGCCATGAAAATACAATCGTACAATCTGGACATTGAGTATAATCCTGAAAATGTAAATGTCGTCGACGACACTCTTAGTCGTCATGTTGATGCTTCGGTGGAAGTGACCGAAGAAGCCGAATCATGTAGTAAATGTCATGTTATTAGAGTTGAAAATCAGGAAGATATTAGGAAAGCCGCTGGAGATCAGCGAAGAAGAGACAACCTTAAATATAAAGAAGGAGATCTAGTTCTCGTGGAGACCCACAGAGCCAGTAATGCGGCCAAGGTATTTACTAATAAATTTGTTCCAAGGAGAGAAGGTCCTCATCAGGTCTCACAGGTTGTTAGTCCAACTACATTTGTAGTTGTCGATAGTACTGGTGCCATTAGGGGCAAGTATCACGCCAGTGCTCTGACTCCGTACGTAGCAGAATTGACCGCGATCGAACATGCGCGTCGACGAGGTCGTCTGGCCAAGTCACCGCCGGGTCGTGCTAGTGACTTGGGGGGGGAGGTTATAGCACCGCGTCGACATCACGCCACCTCACGAACTGTTCGCGCCCCGCCTCCGTCCCGGCATTCCGCCCGGCTGCGCGCCCGCCGTAGTTCCCCCGTTCCCTTAGTTAGCCGCGAGCCTTGACTTTGTAAACACGCGTACGCGCACGACTGCCGGGACGCCGCCGCTGTCCTAACAACGATGTATTGATTACGTACTACACTGTAATATTATTCAATTAATTAAAAGTCTTATCTTCCAAACGGACTTTCACTATACTAGGATATTTGTTCTTATGCATTCTGCGTTCTTCCATCAAGTCTAAAATTTCATCTGTCATCCATTGTTGCTTCTTGACAGGACGGTTTGGTGCCAATAAGGAGTGACATATATCGCCAATTGTTTGTTTTAGACTCGACCATGATTCTAGAGGCGGTGTTTTGTTATCTAGTTGTTGTTCTGCCCATTGATTGATGGAATTTGAAACTGCTGCTCTAGTGTTTTGCTCCTTTAATTTTCTAGTATCAATTACAGATCTCCTCCTATGACATTTTTGCATTAGCTTAAACTTGCACTGCATTGTGACAACGACAGGGTTGTGATCTGAATTAATATCTGCACCTGGGTAGGTAACAGCGTTTTTAATAGAGTTCCGAAACCGTCGGTTTACTATGATGTAGTCTATTTGGTTCCGTACTACATGGCTAGAATTGTGTCTCGGCGACGTCCAAGTGTATAAGCGCCGTGGATGCAACTTGAAAAGGGTATTTGTGATCGTCAGATCTTTATCCTGACAGAACTCCACTAAAGTATCCCCTCGATCATTTCTCGATCCCAGACCATACAAGCCTGTTACCCCTGGTACTAGCGTTGACCCTACTTTTGCATTTAGATCGCCAATTAAAAGGGTCATATCGTGTTTTCTTGTTTGATGCATTAGAGTATCTATTTGGCCATAAAACTCTTCAATCTCGTTCAGAGGTTTATCTGCAGTAGGAGCATAAACTGCTATTATATTAATATTAACCGGATATGCGTTCAGCTGGATAAGCATTGTACGGTTTGATAGCGGGAGAAAATTAGTCACATATTTTGAAATTTCTTTGTTCATTAGAACACCAACACCATACTGTTCGAAATTTTGGTCACTGCCTGAGTAATATAGAATTTTTCCCTCCTGGGTATAGTATTTATCTTGACCAGGCCATTTTGTGTCGCTTAGACCCAAGATGTCTAATTTTAATCGATCCATCTCCTTGATTACATTAGGAAGTTTTCCGTGCTGCCTCATTCCTCTTACGTTCCATGTTCCTATCCTTATCTTGCTCAACTTGTTAGGTTTCCCTCCGGAGATTCTTAGCACCCCTGTCCCATTTAAGGGACGCCGGAGACTCGAGGCCATATCTTTCCTTGTACTGTCCATTGTGCCGACTACTAGGGAAAATAATGACGGTGGTATCCCGTTGCCTTCCGTCATCGCAGTGCCGTGGCCGTCGTGCCGAAGATGTCGACTGCGCCCACAACTATCTTACATAAGCCCTTTAAGCTATTGTAGCCTTGTCCTTATGCAAGTACTGGTATTGCTGCTTTCAACCCCAGGTCATAAAAACTACGCCTTTATGACAAGGCTTGCCTCTTCCGCTGGTTCTGCCGACTGCTGTTTTTGGAAACATCTTCGCCATTACCACCGTTGAGGTCTTCACCTGTAACCCCAGGCAGGGAGCCGTGTTATACCCCACAGCACTGGGTCCTTCAGCTGAACTTAGTCATCAACACCTCCCGGCCTACTGGAAGACGTGATGTCCACCCCCGCGACGTGGACGCGCCAGAGAAGAATTACTTAAGTGGACGGTAAAGAATTTAGCTCTACTGTCCCTTAAGCTGAGTTAACGGACTTGTTTGTGCCCAAGCCCGAAGGCTAAGGTAAATAAGACTACTAGTGTTGTATTGTAATAGTTTTTCTCCATACATATGTTCATTAGTGACGTCACAAATTTCATTATTGAGTTCCCATTTAATATATGAACGATTTTCTTCCGAATAATCAGCAATTTCCAACTTTTGTAATATACGTATCTGCGATTGTAAATATTGATTAAGGCAGATATTCAAATGTTGTGTGAATACAAAATAAATATTTATTTTATTATATTACATATTAAATTGTATGATAGGGATCAACTTTTTTAAATATTTGTATGAAGTTGGTTTTTATATGTATTTAATAAATTCATCTTTAGATTAATGAGGAAATAAATGTTGTAAATTAAATAAATTTTAGTTGAATAATTGTTTTTTTTGATAACACCATACACAATTTCAAAAGTTAGACAAGCAATAATTGTTATCGGTGAATTTCATAATATTTTTTTTTAAATAAAACACTGGAGTTCATATTAATTTTTATTTAAACAATAATCGGTGGGCGACATTAATTTGAACTTATATTTAAGCAGTGATTATAACTTTTTAAAGGAATTTACAATAAATAAAATTTATATTTAAACAAAATAACAACACAAATCTTTCCTCGCATTCTAGAAGTAACCAATACCATCTCCTTTGTTACAAAAATATTTGATATTGCTTCCTCTATTTTATAATTATTACACCGAGTCTAGGAAGAGATGTATGCATGTGAAGGAGGAGAACTTCACAGAGAGAACTGGTAGAGACGATGTTTGTGCGGGTGCTTGGCGCAGGGCCCGTGCGCGAGCGTGCTGCCGCAGCACGACCAGTGCCGCGCGCCCGGCCACCCCGCGTGCCCGTGTCCGCATCCTGACACATATCAATATTAACTGTGGAATTCCACTGCCGAAACACTTGAAAAAAGATATTGTTCCTTCTCTCTTGTTTTAGGCTTAAACCCCCTAGAGTTTAAGCCCATCGTCCAGCAGCTTGTGCCATATTTACCTTTGTATCCGCCGGGCATGGTGGCGCCGCAGCCGCAGCGCACGTCGCGCCGCCCGCCGCTCGAGCAGAAGGTGCAGCAGTGGAACTGACCAGCGTGCGAC